TTTAATAAGTAGTTTCCCAGCCGAAATCGGTTGAAATGGCGATAGTTATCCGTAACAAGCATTACAAAGTTATCTGAAACTGAAATGTCTTTAAATAACAACTAGTAAAGACGAACAAATTGTAAACCGGAGGATTATCCACCAAACGCCGCCATTTTTAATTTCATTCACGCGAGAGAATGCGTTTGTTTTTAGGGCAAAGTAGCCGATTTCATCCACAACTGGACTCCGAACTGGGAGCTCTAGATATATCTGGTAATCGATCATCATTTTTGGTACCTGGGCATGTTATTTCATTAAAAAAGTTATATTTTTCAAAGTCCCGGACTTTGTCTATGGAGGTACGCAGGGCTGTGGTGGGGACATCTATCAACCAAACGCGTCGCCTTACACACAGCACTGTAAGCAGGGCTACTATCAACCGAACGCGTCCCCGTACACACAACACTGTACGCAGGGCTAATGCCAATCGAGCTAGCCACAGTATATAGGGCAAATACGATTAAAATTGAGGAGGAGCAATGGAGGAGCGGGATTAGTTTTAGAATTATCGGTGAAGGGGGCTAAAGAGTTTCTCATATATTCATTGTTCATATATATTTATTACAAGATAAATATGGAAAATGGACGCAACAAAGAAATTCATTCGTGCATAGTCATTATATCAGGGTCGTCTTTAAAGAGACCTGGTATCATGTTTAACCACACCAGGATTATTCAACTTGGCAGTATTTATATCGATTCACTGATACTAATAGTCACAATACTAATCGCAAACACTCCATAATACAAAATATAACTCGGCATATAATACAACACGAAGATCAATGCGCTGCTGAGACTCGGCGTGAACATGGAAAGTTTACTGTGATTGCAAGCCTTCCTAGAGGACGGTGTCGAATAACATCATTATTACCTTTCAGTTTCAGTTGACATAGCAATTTACCACGATGTTGTATGGGCTTGACAGTTGAGATATTACGAGATGGGACGACTGCTAACGATCTGGATTCCACATTTGCAAAAGTTTCGGCAACGTTCTGGCATTTTCTGAGGGAATTCTGAGGTCTCAGTATGCGCAAAATCCTCGTGGAAGCCATGATGGGTCACAGTGATTGCGCAGACGCAGCCTGAAGTACCCCTAACAATCTGATCATTTTTGAGTGCATCAATACTGTGGGAACAAATATTGTAAAATATTACTCTGTCATGAGAAAATTTATTAATTTATTTTGAAATGAATATGAATATCTTTGAAATGGAAGCAAGAAGTTTGTACAACTAATTGAAAAAACAAGCAAACAGTTTTTCTAAAATCACGAAGAATATTGATTATTTTAGCAAGGCTGTGGGGTCTTATTGTATATATAAAAAAAAAAAAGTCCACACGTGACGTTAACTTCAGATTCCAAACCCAGATTCGGACTCAGATTCAAAAATGTACCCTGCCTCAGATTTAGAAACCTGCCTCAGATCTGCAAAGAAATTGTCCAATTGATGAGATAATAGTAGTATGACCAAAGATGCTAAAATACTTGTCTAAGTCATATTCTATAAGAAGACTTATAGCATTGGATTCAATAAGATCGAAATAAGATATTTTTTTAAATATTACTATTTTTTTTCATAAATTTATTATTATTTTGCAGGTAGTGTTTTTTTTTTTTTTAAGTTTCGATAATCGCATAAAAACACACAAAATTCGATCAAAGGTATTCTGGATACTCTCTGGATTTTTTGAGTATTATTTAAATGATATAACTGAGAACAGAGAACAATAAATAGCAAATATTTCATAGTGGAATTTTTACTTATTCATTTTGAGATATTTAGTAAACTTTGAAAAAAAATAATCTCATTTTACTGCTGCTATTTACTAATGACAGATTGACATAGGGTAATGCACTTTTGATAAGATATACGTAATAACAAATAAAAAAATAGTAAAGAAATTTTTTACACTGAAAACTTACACTGAATAGTGGAACAACAAGTTTAATAAATAAATTTTCATCTCTCAAGTTACTTTGTTAAAATTATATTTACAATATTTAAATAAGTTTTTGCCATTTATTTGATTTGTAGATTTTTTTTGTTTAGAAACTATGACGATTAAAACTATGACGATCATTAATGTTATGAATTAATTTTTACATCACACCACAGGGAGTTGAACAACCTTATGTATTTTAATAAATTATTAAATAATAAATGTTATATAACTTTTCTTTTACCCCTCCCCCCCCCCCTGGCGCGTTTCAACCCTTGGGATATTTTACTATAATAGGGTGTGTCTACATCACTTGTTAAAATTTGCATATAACATTAGATTGTGATAAAGGAAAGAGTGGTATAAACAAAGATCAGTGATTACTTGAAATCGATACCAGGAAGGGGGGTAAAAAAAGTTATATAACATTTTATTATTTAATAATTTATTAAAATACATAAGTTTGTCCAACTCCCTGTGATCACACCATCGAGTCCGAGGCGGGATGCATAGACTGGAATACGCCGAATCCGCTGAATCAGTAATCATTCAAAGCTTGGTGAATGCTGAATCTGCAGCTACCTTCACGCTCGTCGCCTGACCTCAGGTGAATCAGCTGGATTATACACGTGATACAGGTTTGTTTTTAACCGACTGGACTGACCGGAAACAGGTGAGTTGTTTTTATGTTTAATACGGGTAATCGTCATCGTATGCGTATTTACATTCATTATTCAATAAATTCAAAAGGGAATTTTCGATGTGATGCTCAAATATTAGGGCCACTTTTGACTTCACAATTCACGAGCGTTATTTGGATACAGGATATGACACACCCACCACTACACTCCCCATTTACAGTAATAATATTTTTTTTTTTCTACAATTTTATGTTTATTTTATTATTTGATTTGTCTGTATCTACGTTATGACTTCAGCCCAATATCTCGGGTTAGACACTTGTAGTTTGCATGTACATGTATATTGTTGATTGTTTTCGAGACAGCTGCACTGAGATGCCGCCCTCTTACACAATATGAAAATAACCCAGGCTGAAGACAGAGCCAGATCATTGAAGCGTGTGAATGTGAAAAGAAATATGTTTCAACTATCGAGATGGAATATATCGTATCAGTTTCGAACTAGATTTTTTTAATGCCAAACATGTGTCATTTCATCTGGGGGGAAATATTGAGAGTTCCGTATAGCCCCCTCAACCATAACTCTAATCCTTACCCCTGTCTACACAATGCCCGCCCAAATTCAAATTGTATATACCGGTACCCCACTTTGTGTCAGTTATAGTTATTTGGAGGGACATATTGAATTACATTGGGGCTGGACTGTTATGGTTGAAGCAGAGATACATTGCTTGGGGTTTGTAACTACGGTGACATGATACCAAGATCCCGTCACAATCTCGCTCTCGCGTAAGCATTCCAACTCAGAAAAATGCGAATGCGCATGCCCGAGGTAACTAGGATACTGGGATGTCCAGGTGGATCAAAATAGCTGCCCACGATATGACGGATTACGAGAACTATATTTTCTGTACATTTTCGATGTATTACATTTTTCACTATGATAGTGACAAGAAAAGTTTATTTTTTTCATTACAAACCTTGAACATTGATATGCATCATGTCAGAAGGTCATAGCCTCAGTCTCGCTATCTACGAGAAGAGACTTGAATGGGATCTTGACATGATGTCACCATACAGTACTATGCAAGTTGCAAACCCCAAGTAATGTACCTCTGGTTGAAGTTATACTGGAGTGGGGGCCTTTATAAACTCTTTCCATCTAAGTTGCATGTGCAGTGGGACTAAACTACTGAAAAAAAAATGCTTCATTGATTTCTTCAGTAAATATTCAAGTGGTTTGGATGTTAGCTGGTTATTAGCAGTGGTATTTTAATCTGTTTTCTGCTTAAATGATTTGTTGTATGGACTTGGCATTTCCTGGCAACAAGTTTACAGTGACTTGTGCATAATTATGTAGGTAATTATGTTTTTTTTTTCTCTCACACAGTAATATGTCTTATAGATTCAAAGCTTCCAAATATAAGAATGCAACGCCAAAGATTCCAAAGAAAGAGGTAAACTGTGTGTCATATATTATGCTGATATTTTGTCTGTCGTGATAATTGAAATAAATGTCACATGGAATCTTTTTTTACTACATTTATTGAGATCCGAAATACATTTTTTCTGATAAAAAAGCAATAATGTGCTCATTTGATATGTATTTTCAATACGTAAATGTTCTTCATCACTCGAACAATTTAAATTATTTGTCAATAAAAATTGTTACTTACTTAGTCATATCTATTGGTATGCAAATTCCTATGGTTAGTTTGTATATGAAAATTTTACAGAAATATTTTTCCTGATATGAGAAATTGGAATTTTTAGTCATCTACATTTGTACAAATAATGTTCAAAAACCAATTAGTCTAATGATACAGTGAATTTATGTACATTGCAACACTACATAGCTATCCAGAAGTATTAGAAAAATATCAAAATTTATACAAACATTGAAATGTGAACGCAAAATATTGAGGCCAACATTCAGTCATGCTGAAAATCATTAAAATCTGTGCAATTTCAGTCTGTCGGGTACTTTAGTAATTGTCACATGACACCAATAAAGTTTTAAGAATGAGTTTAGACTGCAATAATTTATTATAATGTTTTTGATCATCGTAGGGTTGGATATCTGACATCAGTGTTGGCTCTCCTCAGTCCTGTGGAAATCACATCAAAGCAAGTTGTGCTTTAGTCGCATTTAACATAGAACATGCAGGTGAGTTATCAATAATAATATTAGTAATAAATAGTGATTCATTTTAATACCTCTGTACTTTAATGAGCTTGAGTGCACACAGTTCAGAAAGCAAATATAGAGTACAAAAAGTTGCCATAAAGGTAGGTCAGCAATTAATGATAATGTGTGTTCACTGTATCAGTGATATTTCAAACTAACACATATAGAGGTACAAGTGAATGATGAGGTAGGCATGAAGTGCTGTAATTCAAAGACTGTTATACAGTACTGGGTCTGTATATATGTTTATAATTGCATTATTTAGTTGTGACATGATGTATGAATAGTTTCTGTGTTTGCAATTAACACCATAGTCACTAAGAATGATGTTTATGTTCAATTCTCTGAAATGACATTGGTTAGAGGACTGACATAAATTCAAACGTTGAGGTGTTACTACATGTGTGAAGAACCACACATTCTCAACTCTTGCAGAATGCAGCATATCTTGTCTCATTTCACTACATTCTGAAATTTTTTTCTTATGAATTTATTTATCAGCTGGTGGAAGTTTAGGGATTGTTACAGTCAATGAAGCTGGCAGAAAAGACAGAGGACTTCCATTACTTCATGCACATTCACAATTTGTGACAGATTTTGATTTTTCGCCGTTTGATGATTATTTATTGGCTACATGCTCTCAAGATTGTACAGTGAGTACCAGTCTTATTGTTACCCATGTTATTACACAGAATGCATTTTTGATATTTTATGACAATTTTATAAACTTTCAAAGATAACTGGGAAGCAGGCTCAACCAGCTTCGCTATAGCTATTTCTGCCTCCCAGCCATATTATACATATTTACTTAGACTTTTGTTTGTTTATTTATTTGTTTGTTTATTTATTCATTTGTATATTTATTTATTTATACATGTACATTTATTTTTTTATTTATTTTTATTATTTACTTACTTCTACTGTAACTATTTTCACTTTGTATAATATGAGAAATAATACAACAACAACAAGTCAACATGTTTGATGTTCAGAACAAAACTGAAAATGGATAGTAAAATATCCACACAGGAAGTAAACCAATGTTGACCCCCCCCCCTCTATACCCTCTTTCACATGGTAGCTGTACCCAAATCTAGTTTGAGTACCTTGAGTAAAAAACAGTCACTAACCACAAAGAAAGCGAGGAGTTTTCGCCTGTGCATGGTAGATGGCCATAGCAAGTATCTACCCATGAGCCTTTGCATTTTTAGCTTGTGTTGTTATCATCGCTTGGAACTCAATTCCCCCAAGTGCACATGTGACGACCCTCCCGCTTTAAACATGCAATGCAATACAGTTAACTTGAATGATGGTTTTGTTGCTTACTTTCTTCAGGTCAAGATTTGGTCACTTCCAGAGGGGGGATTGACAGAGAATATATCAAATCCTGAAACAGTATTTCCACTACAAGAGCGGAAAGTTGAGAATGTGTTGTTCCACCCTGCAGCTGACAATATTTTAGCATCTTCTGTTTATAAAACTGTTAAAATCTGGGACATTGTCCATGAACAGGAGAAGATTGGTGAGTGATGAGTAGTAATGTTTTGATTGGTGAGTGGTGAATAGTAATGTTTTGATTGGTGAGTGATTAGTAGTAATGTTTTGATTGGTAAGTGATTAGTAGTAATGTTTGATTCGTGAGTGGTGAGTAGTAATGTTTTGATTGGTAAGTGATGAGTAGTAATGTTTTGATTCGTGAGTGGTGAGTAGTAATGTTTTGATTGGTGAGTGATTAGTAGTAATGTTTTGATTGGTGAGTGATTAGTAGTAATGTTCTGATTGGTGAGTGATTAGTAGTAATGTTTTGATTGGTGAGTGATTAGTAGCAATGTTCTGATTGGTGAGTGGTGAGTAGTAATGTTTTGATTCGTGAGTGATGAGTAGTAATGTTTTGATTCGTGAGTGATGAGTAGTAATGTTTTGATTGGTGAGTGATTAGTAGTAATGTTTTAATTGGTGAGT